GGGAGGGGCCTGTGGGCGGTGAGTGTGAGCGGGAGGGGCCTGCGGGCGGTGAGTGTGAGTGGGAGGGGCCTGTGGGTGGTGAGTGAGAGCGGGAGGGGCCTGCGGGCGGTGAGTGTGAGTGGGAGGGGCCTGTGGGCGGTGAGTGTGAGCGGGAGGGGCCTGCGGGCGGTGAGTGTGAGTGGGAGGGGCCTGCGGGCGGTGAGTGTGAGCAGGAGGGGCCTGGTGCCTGCGGGCGGTGAGTGTGAGCGGGAGGGGCCTGTGAGCGGTGAGTGTGAGCGGGAGGGGCCTGCGGGCGGTGAGTGTGAGCGGGAGGGGCCTGTGAGCGGTGAGTGTGAGCGGGAGGGGCCTGCGGGCGGTGAGTATGAGCGGGAGGGGCCTGGTGCCTGCGGGCGGTGAGTGTGAGCGGGAGGGGCCTGTGGGAGGGGCCTGCGGGCGGTGAGTGTGAGCGGGCGGTGAGTGTGAGCGGGAGGGACCTGCGGGCGGTGAGTGTGAGCGGGAGGGGCCTGTGGGCGGTGAGTGTGAGCGGGAGGGGCCTGCGGGCGGTGAGTGGGAGTGGGAGGGGCCTGCGGGCGGTGAGTGTGAGCGGGTGGTGTGAGTGGGAGGGGCCTGCGGGCGGTGAGTGTGAGTGGGAGGGGCCTGTGGGCGGTGAGTGTGAGCGGGAGGGGCCTGCGGGCGGTGAGTGTGAGCGGGAGGGGCCTGTGAGCGGGCGGTGAGTGTGAGCGGGAGGGGCCTGCGGGCGCAGCCTGGGCTCGGATTCGGGGAGCCACGGCTCCTTCCTGGGGCCGGACAGGTCAGTCAGTGCCTCCTCTGAGACTCGCCGGACCCAGGTCTCTGGTGACTCGGGGCTGGAGCCCTGCCCTTTAGTGGCCTCATAGCCAGGGCCCCGCGCCTGTGGGCGCTCCGGCTCCTCGCCGCCCGCCCGGGAGGAGGGGTGGGGAGGGAGCTGTTTGCCAGCGGCCTGAGTGGCGGGAGTGAGCGCGGTGCCCCGGGGGGTGTCCTGCTGTCTGCCCTCAGCAGGCCCCGCACGCTTCCATCACCAGGCTCCGTCTCCATGCGTGGGAGGACGTGTGCCCCATCACAGCGCCGGGCGGTGGCCCGCCGGACAGCGGCCACGCCCTGAGCAGTGGTGCTGAGGACACAGGAGTGTGTGACGGGAGCCGAGGGCGGGGTGTGGGCGCTGTGAGCGCGGGGGCTGTGCCAGCCTGGGCACTGTCCTGTGGGCACTGCACCGGCCGTGCTGAGCCACCTGGCAGTCACCCACCACAGTGTCTGCCTCCTCTAGGTAGGCAGGGAAGTAAAGTGAAAGCTCACGGCAGTGTCTTTCTGGCACTAAGTGTGAGCCCCACAGAAATACATCTTACCGTGTGACCTTCAGCGGAAGCAAGGCCAGGCCTGGTAGATGGAACGTAAGCCAGCAAGTCTGTCCCTTTCTTCTCTTTCTTTTTAAAAAATATATTTGTATTGATTTCAGGGAGGAAGGAAGGGTGAGGGAGAGAAACATCAGTGATGAGGGAGAATCACTGATGGGCTGCCTCCTGCACCCACCCACTTGAGGATCAAGCCTGCCCCCCGGGCCTGTGCCCTTGGCTGGAATCGAACCCGGACCCTTCAGCCTGCAGGCAGACGCTCCCTCCACTGAGCCACACCGGCCAGGGCTGGTCTGTCTCTTCCAAAGGGGAGCGAGCAGCGCGGTCCTCAGGGCCTTGGCCTCGCAGCCACGGCTACCTGCTTCCCAGGCTGCGCCTCAGCTCACGGCCGCGTGGCCTTTAGGCTGCAGCCGCTGCACAGCCACGAGGCCCGCCACCTGGTCCTGCTCAGCGCGATGGGTCAAAGGAAGGGTGTTGCCCTTCCCTGGGCGCTGGGGGCCCCCTAAGCCTCGGGCGCCGGGGCCTCAGTTGTCTGGAGTGCGTGCGGTCTGTCTGAGCACGCAGCTTGTGGTCAGCCCTCTTCCCATGAGTCGGCGCGTCCATTTCCTGGCCTCTGCTCGGGGGCTGGTGCGTGCCGTTGCCGGCCTGTAGTTTAACACACGGGCATCTTCCCGACCACGTGGCCTGGCTGACGGTGGCCTGGCACTCGGCTCAGTCCGGGCTGTGGGCGGGGTTGGTTTTGCTCCGAGCTGCACAGGAGGGGCGTCTCCTCCCTCGCTCACACCCTCTCCTTGCCTTCCAGGTTCTCAAGGAGTGGCGCCCGGGCCTGTGGTTGGGCTGCAGGCCCCGTCCACGGGCCTCCTGGGGGCCCGCCCCGGGCTGATCCCCCTGCAGCGCCCGCCGGGCATGCCTCCGCCTCACCTGCAGCGCTTCCCGCTGATGCCGCCCCGGCCCATGCCGCCCCACATGATGCACCGGGGCCCGCCGCCCGGCCCCGGGGGCTTCGGGATGCCCCCGCCCCATGGGATGAAAGGCCCCTTCCCGCCCCACGGCCCCTTCGTGCGGCCCGGGGGCATGCCGGGCCTCGGGGGCCCGGGGCCGGGCCCGGGGGGCCCCGAAGACAGAGACGGGAGGCAGCAGCAGCAGCAGCAGCAGCAGCAGCAGCCGCCGCCCACGCAGCCCCAGCAGCCGCCGCCCGCCCAGCAGCCGCCCCCCTCGCAGCAGCAGCCGCCCTTCAGGAACGACAGCAGGCAGCAGTTCGACAGCAGGCAGCAGTTCGGGCCGGGGAGAGACCAGGAGAGGTTCGGGAGGCGGTCCTTCGGCAATAGGGTGGACAGTGAGCGCGACCGCTACGGCAGCCGCGGCGACGAGAGGGAGAGCAGCGGCCGCGAGAGGAGGGAGTGGGGACGGAGGAGCCCCGAGCGGGACAGACACAGAGACGCCGAGGACAGGGGCCGGCGGGCTGGCGGGCACCGTGACCGCGAGAGAGATTCGAGGGACAGGGAGTCCCGCCGAGAGAAGGAGGAGGCCCGGGCCAAGGAGAGGGCCGCCGAGCCGCCCCCGGCCCAGGCGGGGGGCACGGACCCCGCCCCGGACCTCGCCAAGGGGGCAGCCGAGCCGGCGCCGGCCCCGCCTGCCGAAGAGCAGCCGGCACAGGCTACCTCACCCGCACACCCGGAGGAGGACCCCGCGGCGGCCGAGGCCCGCTAGCCGGCGCGCGGGCCGCCCTGGGCGCGGTGTACAGTGCTGTATCATACTGCTCCGCTGGCGCCCGGGAGTGATGGCGGGCGCTGTAAGCAATTTGATTGCTCCCTTCTATTTAAAAATAGCCACAAAATAACAAAAAATACTGAAAATACGAATAAATATTACCCTTTTTGCTGTAACTTTTTTAAAGTTTTGACTTTAAAAAGTTTACAAATCGTAATTAGAAGTGCTCTCTATTTTTTTTTTTTTTTTAATTTAAGGTTAACCGTGAAAGCTCCTCAGCAATAGGGATGTTTTTAATAAACTCTATTTTCGTAACAAGTGTGACGTGTGCTGTTCTTTGTGCCCGCCCTGCCCTGGGCGAGGCCGCTCACCCACTGGGCTGCCCCTCGGCCTGAGCCAGCTGCTGGAGGAGTCCATTGGTGATTCTTCGCCTTGGAGCGGCTGGAGCATACGGTGCACGGTGGTGGCTTACGCTTGGTTTGCAGTTCAGTTAGGGTTTGTGGGTTTGTTTTTTCAGGGTTTTTTGCCATTGACTCCGCGGTAAATGTGCCGATTCATTTGTAGAGACTTTGCTGGGGAAGCTGAGCCGTCGCCCCCGGTTGCCCGGTGTCCTTGCTGACAAGGCCTGCGTTCGCTCACCATCCTCCGTGCTCTCCGGGGATGGAAGTGAAGACGAACGTGTTTTACGTTTGAGGACTTGGATGCAGCCTGTGAGCCCTGCCTGTTGCCTTTCTAGACTGGTTTTGTGAACTGTCTGGGCAGGGGTGGACTCGGCTTTCTGCCGCCCCTGAAGGGCGTCTGTTAAAAGGGTGAACTGGGAGAAGGTAAGTCACCCAGACCTGTGTTCACAGCAGCTCTTCACCCGCCCGCCCGGTGTCAGAAGCTGCCCTGCGTGTCCACAGCGGAGTTCCCAGCCCAGCTGCTGTTCTCGTCACGTTTACAGCGGCCGGTTGGTGTGTGAGCAGGTCACGTCTTGCCCCCCTGCAGGCAGAGCTAGCCCGGCTTCCCGGAGCCCTGAGTGAGGCTGTGCGCCGCGTCCTGTTCTGCAGACGTGAGCTCACGGCCTCGCCAGCCGCTCGGGAGAAGCGAGCATCGGTTACTTAGGTCCGACTTCAAGGCCTCGCAGCGTTTCCAGCTGTAAGTCTGAGATCGCTGATGCGCACAGGACAGCCCTCCCCGAGTCCCAGGGGTGGCACGTCCACGGGAGGCCTGGGGCACGGGGAGTCCGTGGGATCCCACCTGCATTTGTGACTGTTGGGCTCCCCAGTGAGAGCAGGGCACGTGGCTAACTACTTGAACTTTGAAAACAACTTGCCTTTTTTAATTAGCCCTTCCTCCTAAAGGATCTACTTTTAAAGTACAGCAGTCACTCCAAATTGTATATAGCTCATTTCTGGATTTGCTGCCGGCCGTATCTTACAACGTCCGAGACGCTGCACCCGTTGAACCCGGGTTCGGTGGGCGTTTAAGAAGCTCCGCTCACAGGAGCAGCAGAGGCAGTCTCCTCGGAGGGCCCCTCCGCACCCCTCGCCTCGATGGGCAGGTCGGTGACGTCACCTCAGTGGGCAAAGCCAAGCTGCCACGTGGCACACGGAGCCCAGGCTCTCGGCCACAGGACCCGGCGTGACAGCGGATGCACTTGCGTCGAACGCTAAGTGGTGACCTCCCCTGGAGCTGCCCAGGAGGGCACACGCATCCGCTCCAAGCCCATCCGTCAGGCTCCGCTCGGACCAGATGTGCGGTCAGCACAGGCTCTCGCAAAACACCGTGTCCATGAGGGCTCTGAGCCCGGCCTGAGCTGAAGAGGGCGCCAGGGGAGCACTGTCCAGGGTGTCCTTACACGTTACACGTCCGAAGAGGAACGTGTAACTGACAATCCAGTGGTCACGCCCATGTGTGATTAAAGCTGGCGAAATACAGCGATCATTGAAACACATTTTAATTGAATAGGAGATTTACACAATCATACAAATCTTCCAAGTGACCGTAACTCACGTTACAGGAACTTAAAGCAGTCTTAAGAAAAGACACAGATCACACCGCGGAGGTAAGTGTTTAATGTTTATCGGTTAAATAGGAGACAGGACCGGCCGCTCACTGGGCGATCCCGATCACCCCGCAGGCCAGGCGGCTCCCCGCGTTGCCCGTCTTCTTGCTCTCGTCATTGTTCCCTCTGCCCAGGTCATCTTGCTTCTCGTGGACCTTGAAAAACATGGAGACCATGACAGGATATCACGTCTCTGCATTCTCCCCAACACCCAGATTCCGCAGGGACCACTTGGCGTCAGACGAGAACACAAAACAGGAACCCTGTGCACTTCATCTCTCTAGCAGTGCAGCCGGGCCTCCGGGAAGAGCTCACGTGAACCCCTTCAAAAAACACTATGGAACCCAGTGACTAGCCAGAAAGTAAGTGACCCTTACAACAGCTTAACCACTGGAAGGCAGGACCTTAAATTTCTCTATCAGACACCCAGACGTCCTGCTTCTCACGGAGGCCGAGGAGCGGCCCCGGGGTTGCCGCTGAGGTGACCTCCGAGGCCGCTGTCCTCACACCTGTACCCAGCGATCTGTGCCAGCCGACGCGCTTCCCAGGCTAAACGTGCTGACGTCCAAGCACAGACGTGAGTGAGGGCCACACTGGGCCTGCTCGAGACTAACTGCTCGGACGGCACAGGCTGCAGCCGACTCTAGAGACTGGTGCACCCGCCCACATGGTCTCCGCACTGGCCCTGGCACCGGCTCCTCTCGCTGCAGCCCCTTCTCGTCGGAACCAAAGCGCCATACGCAGTCCCTCAGGAGCCAGGGTTCGCCGCGAACGATCCACACCTGACTACGGGGAGCGATCGCCTTTGTGGGTTCACAGCAAGGCGGTGTGCGCGCCCTTCCCCGGGGACACTCACCACCATTGTGCGGCCGATGATGGAATGTTCTCCCGAGAGCTTGATCACGGAGTCTTCGATGAACACCGTGGCCACACCGTCCGCTTCCGCCTTCACATTGCCCAGATCCCCGACATGCCTGGCAGGAAGAAGCATCAGAGGTTCAGGACCAAGTTGTAAACAGACAGCTCGGCTGAGATGTGGGCACAGCATGGATTGGACAGGAACCACGTTAGACAGCAGGCTCAGTGCTGCAAACAGGCCTCAGCCCACCCTAGCCTGTTTGGCTCAGTGGATAGTGTCAGGTGGACGGAGGGGTCCTGCATTTGACTCTAGTCAAGGGCACATGCCTGGGTTCTGGGCTCTTTCTCATCACTGATGTTTCTATCGCTCTTTTTCTCTCCCTCCTCTCTGAAATCAATAAAAATAGCCTATCTAATGAAGAGAGAATAACACTATTTCACTGTCACATGCCCTCACAAAGATGGCAGCACCCACAGCCAATAAGGAGGGAGTATGCTAATTACTGTCACATCCTCAAAGATGGCCGCTGAGAGTAGCTGAGCTACTAACATACAAAAGCCCAGGTGACCGGCCAGTAGCTATGATGCACACTGACCACCAGGAGCAGACACTCAATGCAGGAGCTGCTGAGCGACAGCAACTTTGCAGAGTGCCCTCCTCATGCACTCCAGGGACCCTCCATTTTCAGCCCAGTTCCCACAGGCCAGGCTGAGGGACCCCACCAGGCACACATTTGTGCACCAGGCCTCTAGTTTTAAAATTAAAACAAAATGAAAACAAGCGGGCACTGACGGGACATGGTGGCTCCCGCCCTGCTGCCCATTCTCGGACAGCAGAGCAGCTCTGCCCCAGGCCTGTCACAAAACAAACAATCCTTGCCCTTGACCTCTCCCTGAGGCTCGCAAAAACGTTCGCATGAAGTCTCACGGGACCTTGGCTCAGACCTGGCCCACCAGCTCCCTCTTTCCCGCTGAGCTGTGCTGGTGTGGGCAGCGCTGTCCATCACCGCAGTTCCCTCTGGCGCCTGCGGCAGACCTCACCGCGCTAAGTGTCCCGTTTGTCAACGCCGTGGCCCGCAGCGGGGGCAGGGGAGCCCCGCTTCTGGAGCGCAGTCCGGGGAGCGCACGCCCCCCCCTTTCCCACAGGCGCTCGGCGCTGCGGGCTCACCTCTCCTCGTCCTTCGGCCCGCCGTGGTTCTTGGACAGAGGGTTAAAGTGAGGACCTGCACTGGTACAGCCTAGTTACAACAACAAAAAAAACAAATTATGAAGCGAAATCCCAAAACCTATTATCCTGGTCATTGCTAAACCCTCCAACAAAACGTGCTGACCTCCAGGCCATGGAGAACGGGCGGGCGGGACGAGGGCTCAGGTCCCTGTGTCGGGCAAGCTCTCGCCTGCTCTGGGCGCCCGTGGGCTGTTAGTCCCCCGAGCACCGCCGGTGTGCACGAAGGCAGGAAACCTTGACCTCAGGCCGGGACCTGTGCCCCAGGCGGGCGGCCTCGTGGCTCGGGCAGCACGGCACCGGGGCACTCGGACCTCAGACCAGCTGGGACCACGCTGAGCAGCTCGCGCGCGCGTGCTCGCAGACGCAGCCACCGCGCCCCAGTTCCCACGAGGGCCGCTCCCGCGCTCCGGGGAGGCAGGGTCCCCTCGCAGTGACCAGAGCGCAGAGCCCAGCCTCCCAGAGCAGGGCAGGGAACCGCGAAGCAGTGGAGAGATTCTGAAATGGGTGAACCATCCAGTCTGCTCCCTCCACTTCGCCCTGTAAGAGCCCAGCTTTCAACGTTCAGAACACGTTTCCCGGAGCGAATCGTGTACTCCTGGAGCAACCCGAGGGCAGACACTCAGCAGCAGGATGCCCACGGGCATTCCCACCCGTGCACCCGGAACCTGCTCCTGACCCCCCCGCCCCCGGGGGACGGCGGAGCTCGGGCCCTGTGCCGTCCTGAGGGCCCCGGGGGGTGGGCTGCTCTCACAGGACAAGGCGGAGGACGCCCGCCCAGTGCAAATGCCCCCTCAGCCGCTCCCCCACCGGGGAGCACCAGCAGGAGGAGCTGACGGGTGCAATCAGGTCTGAATCACGATCTGAACAAACCAAACCCCTCCCCTTCCTTTCCAGTTTTGGGGCCCAGCCCTGGCTGTGGCCGTCTGGCCGGAAGGTCTGGCCGCCGCCCCATCGCACCCACCTTGGGTGTTGTCTCCAAACTGGTGGACGTGGAAGCCGTGCTCGCCCGGGGTCAGTCCCGAGATGGAGCCCGTGACGGTGACGGGCCCGCTCCCCTGTCCAGAAAAAAGCGCAGGTTTGAGTGTCTGAGGGACGGGCCCGGCGTCACCTGCCACTCGCAGGAGGGGGAGCGGGGAGGGAGGTGCTGGCCTGGCTCTGCCGGCCGGAACCCCAGGCCGGAAAGACCCCGCAGGGCAGAGCAGGGAAGCTGGGCGTGGAGGCTCCGCGGAGTCTGCCCTCGCGAGGCCCGGGAGGAAGTTCCCGTTCGCCTTGGAGCGCTTCTGCGCAGGTGGCCTCACGGTGAGGATGTGAACATGCCCGCTGTGCCCCGACGTGAGCTCAGCCTTTGCCCCCTGCTTTCTCTATGGCCCTCCGTTCAGCACACACTGTTTGCCTCTCAAAGGGCAGAAGACCATGGTGTGGCTGGTGCGGATCAGGAGCTCACCGGGCAGAGGAACCCTAAGCACCCACAGGCTCCACGCGTTACACGGGGGGGGGGGGGGGGGGGGGGCCAGCCCTCACAAGGACCTGCCGCTGGACCAGGAGGAGCTCCAATCAAGTCCTGTGGTAACTGCTACCCTTTTTTGCTTTCTAAAAAAAACAAAACACACAAGAAAACCAGCCCTGGCCGGTGTGGTTCAGTGGGCAGAGCGTTGGCCTGCGGAATGAAGGGTCCCAGATTCAAAGCCAATGGCATGTACATCCGCAGTGGGGGGTGTGCAGGAAGGAGGCGATCCATGTTTCTAACTCTCTCTCTCCCTCTCTTGTAAAAAAGAATCTAAATGCTCCAAGGACGCTGAGGTCTGCACTTGCAGCTGCACATGCTGATTTTAAAAAACTGGGAAACGCCAAAACTGTATGCGCTCCACAGGCCAGCCCTGGAGCGCGGGCTGCAGGTGAAAGCGGGCCTCCTATCCGCACCCCAGGCCGTTATCGGGACCAACAGCTCCCTCCCCTCTGCGCCCCGCTCCTCCTCCCCTGGCTTCCAGCGGGTTCAGTGCCGGGGAAGAGGCGGCCAGAGCAGGGCCCGGCCAACGGAAACGCAGGACCGAGTCCAAGGCCGGAGCCTCCTCCGGACGCCGGGAGCCGCTGCGGAGGAAGCCGAGCCCGGTGCGCGGTCCCGGGGCGGGCAGTGCGGCCGCATCTCAGGCGGCGCCCCGGACCCCGCTCCGGCCTCCGGGCGGGAGCCTCGCCGGTCTCCCCGCGGTGGCCCGGCTGCTTCCCGCCCTCCAGGGCCCGGGGCAGAGCGGCTTCGGGCCGGGGCCGGAGACGCGGGGGGACGGGGTGGGGGGCAGAGCGAGCTCCCCGCGGGGACCCGGGCCTCGCGCCCCCGCCCCGGCCGGACGCCCCGCGGACACGCACCCGCCTCCCCGTGGCCTGGCGGCGGCGCGGCCGCTCGGATCGCAGGATCGCGGGGCGGGCGGGCGGGCGGGCTCCCGCGGGCGCCTGGCCGTGACCCGGGCGGGGTCAGCCCCCCCAGGCCGCGCGGGCGGCGGGGCCCACAGGTTCACGACCTTTAACCCCAGACGCCGGCGCCGCGGCGCGAGGGCGGCCCCGGCGGACGGGCCCGGGACCCCGGAGCGAGGGGGCGGCTCTGGGCGCCGAGGGGCCCCAGGACCAGGGCCCGACGACCCAGAGGACCCAGCGGCCCGAGCGGCGGCGCCCGGCGGCCGGGCTCCAGGCGCAGCGGCCCGGGGAGCGCCGGGCGGCCCGCGGCGCCAGCCCCGCCCCGCCAGGCCGCGGCCTCCTCCCTTCCCCCTCCGCCCTCGCCGCGGGGCCCGCGTCCGCCGCCCGGCCCCGCCGCCCCGCGCCCCGGACTCAGCACTGCGGCGGCGGCCTTGCCTTCTGCTCGAAGTGGATGTCGCCCCGCACGTCGCCCTCGCCGCGCAGCACGCACACGGCCTTGGTCGTCATGACTCGCGGCTCCGAGCGGACTGCGAGGACCGGAGACGCCGCAGGACGCGCCGACGCAGGGGCGACGCCGCCGCCGGCCTCTTATAGGCCGGGCCCGCGCCCCGCCCTCCGGCCCGGGGCCAATCACTGCCCGCGGAGGCCTAGGGACGCGATTGGCCTAGACTGTGTGAGAGGGGCGTGGCCCCGGGATTGAGCCCGCCCCCCGCCCCCGGCCGGGGACGCGGCCCCGGAGGAGGCCATGAGGCCCGGTGCCCGGCCCGGCTGGCGCCGCGGGTGTGAGGCTCCGCCCGGCGGTGCCCGGCGGCTCCCGCTCCCGGCGCCGGAGGCTGCGCTTCCGCTCCCCCCGCAGGGAGGCCGCCATCGGAGAGGCCGCGCGGACTAACGGGCTGGCCAGGACCGCAGAGCCGCCCCCGGACCCGGCACCGGCGCCGTCCGGCCGGGTCCCGGCAGCGCTCAGGCCGGCTCCGCTCCCTGCGGACGGAAACGGCCCCACATGGCGCTCCCCGCCACCTGACAGGATGGACGTGAGGTTCCCGTGTGGTTCTCCGGACGGACCCCCGGAGGAGGGCGGCGCCCACCAGCCCCGCTGAGAGCCCGGCCGAGGGCCCGCCGTCCGGCCCGTGAGGACCGATCGGTCCCCAGCTCCGCACCGCCCCCCGCGGCCCCGACCAGACCCCTCCCCAGCCGCCCCCGTGTGTCCGCACCGCCCCCCGCGGGCCCGGCCAGACCCCTCCCCAGTCCCCCCCGTGTGTCCGCACCGCCCCCCGCGGCCCCGACCAGACCCCTCCCCAGCCCCCACCGTGTGTCCGCACCGCCCCCCGCGGGCCCCGGACACGGCTTCTCCTGGGGAGGATCCCGGCCAGCCCCCTCCCGTGTCCGCCCCGTGGACCCGCTTCTCAGGGAGGATCCCGGCCAGCCCCCTCCCGTGTCCGCCCCGTGGACCCGCTTCTCAGGGAGGATCCCGGCCAGCGCGGAGGGAGCCGCCAGCACCGGCCCGGGACCTGCTGTGTCCGTGTGAACGGACCGCGCTCAGGGCCCTCTGAGAGCCGCTCCGGGCGTGGGCGCCCTGGGGTGGGAGTCCAGCGTCCACGTTCTTCCCTCAGAGGTCACACTGATTCTTCCTTATGGTGCTCACACTGAGAGGCCTTTGCAAAATACCTGCGGCTTAGAGTGAGAGCCCGCCCACCCCTCTCCCCTACCCCCCATACACTCATACACACACACACACACACACACACACGCTCACACACAGTCACACACACATACAGACACACATACACACACATGCTCACACACAGTCACACACACATACAGACACACATACACACACATGCTCACACACTCGCACACGCACAGTCACACACACGCTCACACAGACATACACACACACAGACACACACTCACACAGAGACACACACATGCTCACACACAGCCACACACACATACACACACTCACACACATACACACACATGCTCACACACACAGTCACACACACGCTCACACAGACATACACAGACACACACACTCACACACAGACACACACATGCTCACACACAGTCACACACGCATACACACACTCACACACATGCTCACACACAGTCACACTCGCACACGCACGCACGCTCACACACATACATACAGACACTCACACACACACATGCACACACATGCTCACACAGTCACACACACATACACGCACTCACACATACACACACAGTCATACACTCGCACACACACACGCTCACACACATACATACAGACATACACACAGAGACACGCTCACACACACACAGTCATACACACGCTCACATACATACGCACTCACACACACTCACACACAGTCATACACACGCTCACATACATACACACGCACTCACACACACACACACACACAGTCACACTCTCACACACTCACTCGCATCGGGAGGACAGTTCTGTGGGTAAGCCTGGGGGAAGGGGGGAAATGGGGAGAATCTTGCCTTCTGTCCCCCAGGCTGGCCTAGAACAAACGAAGGTGCTGCCCGCCCACCCAGGTGAGGAGCCAGCCCGCAGGCTGCCGCAGCGAGGGTGCGTGTTCCTGACTCTGGGTCTGGGTGGGGACGGGTTGGCCTCCCTCCCTCGTCCCCGGCAGCCCTGAGGCCGCCCGTCTGGGCCTCCTGTGGAGGACCCCCTGCTTGTGCCCAGCTGCTTGGCTCCACGGGCCAGTGGCCAGGGTCCCAGAGAGGAGGCGGCAGGGCAGGGAGAAGCCGAGCCTGCTGACGGGAGCCCAGGCCCCGTGCGCCGAGATCCGCCCCCTCCCCGAGTGCCTTCCCCACCAGGCGCCCACCCGGCTCTCCAGTGCTCCACTGGGAGGCAGGGAGAGAGGGAGGCAGAGAGAAAGGGAGGCTGGGGGCTGGGAGGCTGGAGCTGGGAGGCTGGGGGGCTGGGGGCCTGGGGGCTGGGAGGCTGGGAGGCTGGGGGGTTGGGAGGCTGGAGCTGGGAGGCTGGGAGGCAGGAGGCCTGGGGGCTGGGAGGCTGGAGCTGGGAGGCAAGGAGAGAGGGAGGCTGGGGGGTTGGGAGGCAGGGAGAGAGGGAGGCTGGGGGCTGGGAGGCTGGAGCTGGGAGGCAGGGGGCCTGGGGGCTGGGAGGCTGGGAGGCTGGGGGGCTGGGAGGCAGGGAGAGAGGGAGGCTGGGGGGTTGGGAGGCAGGGAGAGAGGGAGGCTGGGGGGCTGGGGGGCTGGGAGGCAGGGAGAGAGAGAGGCTGGGGGGCTGGGAGGCTGGGAGAGAGGGAGGCTGGGGGGCTGGGAGGCTGGAGCTGGGAGGCTGGGAGGCTGAGAGAAAGGGAGGCTGGGGGGTTGGGAGGCAGGGAGAGAGGGAGGCTGGGGAGCTGGGGGGCTGGGAGATGCCGAGGCCTAATCCAAGGCCAGAGTGGGCCGAGGCAGAGGCTGTTCCAGCCACGTCTGGTGCCGGGCTGCAGTCTGTGTGTGTGTGTGTGTGTGTGTGTGTGTGTGTGACCCTTGGACTCTACAGCGTTCCGGGTCAGGGATACACACCCGCATGCGGTGTCGCCCCAGGAGCTGGCCGCGGCCTTGGCTCTGCAGCTGGCACGGCTCCCGTTGCATAAGCTGCCCGCCAGCCAAAGGGCCTTTGCCCGAGGCCAAGGTCTCCTCGGGTTTCAGGAAGCAAGAGCCGGATTTCAGCTCAGGTGAGGGCCGGGAGGCATGGCCCTGGGCCAGGGTGCTCCCCTCAGAGACCAGGGTGCTCCCCTCAGACGGGGCCCTGAGAGCCCCCCGCCAGGGCCCGGGGCGGCCGTGTGCTCAGGGCAGAGTCCCGGAGGGCCGTCTGAGAGCTGCCCGCACACGCGGGCGTGGGCCCCACGCTGCCGAGCAAGCACGGCGGCCTCGCTGCCGCAGGCTGCACACAGCCCACCGCGAATATGTCTGCGGCCCCGCCAGTGTAACGGGGTAAGAAACGTTTTCATAAAAATTTCGCAACTTAATTTTTACAGCATCCTGTTGTACATAATTACTAATAACGAGCTGCCACATGCGCTAATGACTGATGACTATCACCGTATTTCGTTCATCTCCCTTACGTGCCTTATGCATAGACACACCACGTCTCCCCACTAATACAGCAGAGAACGTTCTAGCAGCCGATGGCCACGTCATTGGTCTTGGTACGCAACAGAAAGTATCTGACTTTCAGAGCACGAGAAAAACGGGTTTATTTGCGTTATGCTTATTATTTGTGCAGTTATTCAGTGTCTGATAAGTTAATGTTCAAGAAAAAATATTTTTATTAAAATGTTCTATTATTTTATGTTAACGATGACTCATTTATTTCAGCCCTTTGTGTTCAGCCTGTGTCTGTTGGAATAAACCGTTTCCATGACAACTGAAGCTGTTGTTTTTTCCGGCCCATGTACACTTCCACCTGTTTATCTGGCCTTTGGGTCCGGCCCTCCCCCTCCCGCCTCTCCCCCGGGGCCCAGAATTCCCGCCTCAACCCCCCAGAACCTCACGTCCTTCAGAGACGGCCATGAAGTGTGGGCGCCGGGGCCACCTGCCACCCCTCACAGCTCGGGGCTGCAGGCGGGCCTGGCCACGTCGGGACCAGAGTCACCATGCAGGATGGTCTGGACGTGACCTTCCTACCCAGCGCGGCCGTGGCCGGGAGTCCTGCCGGGGCCTCGGCTCCCCGGACCTCAGCCCATCTGTCGTCGCTTTGCATCGGGGTGCACACACCTTTGATGTCAGAGTAACTCATCCGCCCGCCGTGGCTCGTGGCTGGGCATCGACCTATGAGCCAAAGGGCACCGTTCCAGTCAGGGCACAGGCAGGACACACACACACTCATCACCGATGTTTCTCTCTCCTCCCTTCCTCTCTGAATCAACTAAAATGCACACTGAGTGGCCAGATGATGATGATCTCTGAATGCATAATCATCTGGCCACTTGGTGTCTACCCTATATAATAAAAGGCTCATATGCAAATTGTCCTAGGAGTTTGACCAGCAGGCAAGCTGGCCAACCACCCATGTCCCCTCCTTGTGGCCAGGCTGGCTGGACCCATGCACTAATTCATGCACCAGGCCTCTAACACAGACACACACACACACACACACACACACACACACACGAGTGGTCAGATTATTATGCGTTCAGAGATCATAATAATCTGACCATTCAGTATATATTAAAAATAATCTTGCCCTGGCTGGCCTAACTCGGTGGGTAGAGCATCAGCCTGCAGACTGAAAGGTCCCGGGTTCGATTCGTCAGGGGTATATGAGTCTGGATTGTGGACCTGATCCTCAATGGGGGGCGTGCAGGAGGCAGCTGATGGGTGATTCTCTCTCATCATTGATGTTACTGTCTCTCCCTCTCCCTTCCTCTCTGAAATCAATAAAAATGTTTAAAAATAAAAGAATATTCTCTTTTCCAGACCCTGGGTCCCCGAACGCCGTCTCCGCGGCCGCACGGTCCCCGCGGACGCCTGCCCTCCCATGGGAAGGGTGAGTCTCTCCCGCCGTCCCCACCCCAGCGGCCTCCCTGCTTTGCTTTCTCCGCCCCAACCACCC